ACTTTTATTGATGGGAAAAATGGTTCATCTACTAAATTTTTTATTTTTTGTTATTATTTTACATATTTTGATAATTATTAATAATATTTGAATAAAATTTAGCATAGTATATTTATTAATGATTTTTAATTTTTACTTAACTATTTTAAAAATATGTTTTTTTTATTTGGTATGGAAAAAGTCAAATAAATAGATTGAGAATTAAGTTTAATATGAACAATGACAACATAAATTGATGTGCAAAACAAATCACTAACCTGCTTTTTAAATTTTGTTGTTTGACAATAATTTTTAAAAGTTGCTGAATAAAAGTAAAATTTACCACATATCTTAACATGCTATAACTTCTTTTAAAATAACTAAAAGCAACCTTGTAAGTAATACAAAACGGACCTTAAAGAGTAGTAGTGACTTTCCACTTCCCAGACCACTTCCTCAGGCCCAATTAGTGCTGAAAATTTGGGTCGGCCAGGCGGGCCGGTCCGAAGCCCGTTATTGTGGACTCGGGCCCAGACCCGGCCCCGCCTAAATCCGTACAAGCCCGAGCCCGGCCCTGCCCTTGATTAGGGCTGGGCTAGGCCATAATTCCAGGCCCGTAGGCGGCCCGAGCCCGGCCCGGAAAGCCCAAATGGCCCGAAATGACCCAAAGGCCTATTTTTTTTTTTATTTACTGGTTTCTGGCCCTCTTTTTTTCACTTGTTTCTGGCCCAATTGGCCAAGCCTAACGGTAATATTACCGTTGGGCTGACTCACTGTCGTGAGGCAGTGAATCTGTTTTTTGTTTTATTTACTTGGCCTTTTTTTCACTTGTTTCTAGCTCAATTGGCCATGCCCAACGGTAATATTACCGTTGGGCTGACTCACTGTCGTGAGGCAGTGAGTCTGCTTTTTTTTTTTTTTACTTATTTGTATCCTTTTTTTTTTTGGTTTACTTGTTTGTTGTTTGAGTTTCTGACTCACTACCATGAGGCAGTGAGTCTAAAGGCAGAGGGCTGCATGCCTGCAGCCATCTGCTTTTTTTTTTTTTTTTTTACTTGTTTGAACTTTGAATGTTTCTGGCCTTTTGTTTTTTTTAGTTGCACTTGTTTGTAGGTTATGGCCCAAGCGGCCAAGCCCAACGGTAATATTACCGTTGGGCTGCCCTGCTGCTGACTCACTGCCGTGAGGCAGTGAGTCTGAAGCAGAGGGAGAGGGCTGCAGGCCCTCTGCCTTTTTTTTATACTTTTTTTCCCCTAAAATTCTTAAATTTTATCTATAAATACCCCTTCCATTAACCCATTTTTTCACACAACACAACTTTCACTCTCTCTATTCTCTTCTTATTCTCCAATTTTTTCTCAACTCTCAATTCTCACTCACATTAATTCTCTCAATTTTGTTATTTCATTTTTGTTGGAAAAAAAAATTTTGGTGATTCTCTAATCTCTACTCTAGTCTCTACTTCAACTTTCAAGTCACAATTCCATTATCCATATCAAGTAATCAAGGTATTGATAAATTTTAGAATTATAAATGTTTTAATTTTTTTATATCTAATTTATTGTGAATATTTAGTTTTTAGTGTTAGCATGTATTAATATGTTTATTATTGTTATTATTATTATAGAAAATAGAAAATGAAACCAAATATGTATAGGTATGGTCTTGATGGTGTTAACTACTATGGAATGGATAATCAAGACGTTGAAGAGGCAACAATTCAACGAATGGAGGCGGGTGACCAAGTAGGTGACATGCCAAAAAATATCAATATTCAACCGAATCGAGCCTCACAAATGCCGACGGGCTCAAGTGGTTCAACATCATCAACAATAACAAAACATACAAGACAACGTGCAAAATGTTAGAAATACTTCACTACACAAGAGAAAATTGACGCTGGAGGTAAGAAAATAAAATTAGCTACATGTATATATTTTAAAAAAGTTTTGACCGCAAATTCTATAAGTGGAAGTCAACACTTGAGAGATCACGGAGTTCAATGCGCTAGACTACATCAAGCCAGGACGGAGCCTACACAAACTCAACATCAATTAAACCCGGATGGTTCGGTAAGTACTTGGTCCTATAATCCTCAAGTTGCTAGGGAATCTTTATGTCAATTTATTTCTGCTTTAGATTTACCTATTAATCTTGGTGATAACCCACATTATCAAGCGCATATTCAACGTGCATATTGTCCTCAATTTCAAAAAGTTTCTAAAACTACTACTAGGAGTGATATGATTGCATACTATGAGAAAATGCGTCTTGCATTAATAGCTTAAATGGGTGCATTAAATTTTTCAATTGCATTAACCTCTGATATTTGGAGTGGTAGGGCCAATCAAGATTATTTGAGCGTAGTTGCACATTTTTTAGACTCTAAATGGAATATGCAGAAAAGAATTATTGGTTTTAGTCTTATTGATTGTTCACATAATGCTGACGATATTGTTGAGAGACTTGTTAGTGTTATTCAAGATTTTGGTATACGGGACCGCATTATCTCTATCACCTTAGATAATGCTACAGCTAATGCAAGGACGATATCAATGTTGGAGGGACTTATAAACTCATATAGTGGTGGAATTTTACTTCATCAAAGGTGTGCATGCCATATAATTAACCTCATTGTCAAATCAGGTATGTGTATGGTAAGTTCTACAATTGATAATATTCGAAATGCCATTTCTTGGATTCATAATTTATACCCCCGCATTGCTGAGTTTAAGAGGTATTATAAAGCAAAAGGTATGAAGCCTAGAAAGTTTGGTCTTGACATGCCTGTTAGGTGGAATTCAACATATATGATGTTGAAGAGTACTTTACCATATAAAAATATTATCACTATTTTTTTTCAATACAAAAATGGGCAAAACAATGTTGCAAGAAGATGACTGGTTTATTTGCGAACGATTTGCGTCTTTTTTGGAGGTTTTTTATGATTCTACTGTTTTATTATCTGGTATTTATTATCCTACTTCTCCATTAGTGTTGCATCAAATTTGTGAGATTACAGACTTATTTGAAACGTATAGAAATGATATGTTATTTAAACCGATAGTAGAAAAAATGGAAGTAAAGTTTAGGAAATATTGGTATGAAATTCCTCTGTTGTATTGTTTAGCAATTATTTTGGATCCTAGAGTAAAATTATCCGGTCTTGGAAATGTTCTTTCTCATATCGGTGGCCAGTTGGATATAGATTATACTTCACAGGTTGTTAACA